TCAGAATCACTGATCTCCCTATAACTCTGATTACAAAAGTAGTATTAGTTGAGCGCTAACAACCACACTCTACTTATTTTGGAATTTTTATCAACCCTAGTACATCGGTATCTGAAAAAAATCTCGATACGGAGACTGTTTTTTTTTTCACATTCATTAATGAAATCCAAATCAATTTACCGGACAATATGGATTTAGTATACCACGACATCGAGTACAAAATACTGGATCATAATTAATCGGTGGAAAATCATAACGTTCTTTAAATAAAGTATACAAACATCCAATTGGTACAATACATTGAGCAGATTCCAATCGAGAAGCAGGCCAAGCATTCCAAGAAAAACGTATACCATCATTGATTTCAGATTGTTGTATAAATTCAGCCATTGTCGCCATTTTTTTAATTTCGCTGCAAGGATTTACTTGAAAAAAATTTGATGAATAACTAATTAACAAGAAGTAAGTAAATGGAATGAGTTATAAAAGAGGATTAATTTAAGAAGACAATAGGAACAACACAAATATAAGCGAACAATAGTGTTAGTGTTTTCGCTTAGATCATCATTAGGCTGCTTTACTCTCTAATATATATGAATATTTCTGTATGAAAATATTCTAACCAATCAAGGCAATTTATGAGTCAATAACGACAATGAAATGAAATAGAGATTACGTCACTACACACATAATAGGTGGAAAAGTATAAGTTGATTATAGTAGTAGTAGTTGATTATAGCACCCGATTCCTAATAACAGCGTTGCTCACTCGGGTGTTCCAGGATATACGAGCAATGCTTCGAAGACACCTATGATCGAAAACCAGTAACCTACGAATATCTAATCTCAATGGCCATGTTTCACAGCCATAAAGTAAGACGGAGCGAACGGTTGAACGTGGATAAATGGACTTAAAATCATAATCATTACAAAAACATTAAAACCATCATGTAATAAGAAGTGTGTACATGATGTAAATGATGACGATTGAATCGAAAACAATATATTTTGCGCTTATATGTGTTGTGTCTAATTTTCACAATGGGAATCTTTGATAAGACAACAATCACATTTGTTTAAAGATAAATATTTGAAACTTCATCAGTTGAGGTGGTTGGGACATGTGGTGCGTATGCCTAACCACCGACTACCTCGACGAGCTATGTTTTGTAGTGTAGGAATAGGTTGGAAGAAAGCTAGGGGCGGCCAAACCAAAACATGGCGAAAATCCATGAAGTCATCGACAACTGGACTGAGTCAGGTTGGTAGATGTAGGCTATCTGGTTGGGGTCCGCTAGACGAAAGTCACCAATGGTTAGAGACCTTGAAAAACATGGCTCAGAATCGTTTGCGATGGCGCAGGTGCATCCACTGTTTGCGTTCTCTCATTCTCTAAGCTTCTGCATTCCTCATAATCTCTACCTTTCTCCTAAATTTATCTCACTGAATTATACTTTTCGAATCATATCTTTGCTGCCTAATCTTTTCCATTGCTGCTAATAATTCTACTATCACTATCACTCTTGCATTTGAACTGACAGTTACGTCTCTGTGCGGACGTGGTATGGCAACCTGAACCGATGTACTTATGTACGAAGTTCTGCTTTGTATCTGTCTGTCTGTCTTCACTACGGTTTAAAATTTTACTACATCAGTTTAAAAGAACATGAGATCCGTAAATAAGACAATGAGAATCTGCTAAGGGAGATAAGAAACCAATGAAGAACATGTTCTCGGTGATCCTAAGGGAACAGCTACGGTATGAGCCTACTTTTTGGACAATGGCTACTATAAGACTGTATTTCTCAATATTATGCTTTTACTGTTCCAACCGAATACAATAGTATTAATTGCAATATAAAAAGATTAGACATTGAAGATACTGTTTAGGAAAATATGGATTAATGAGATAAAGCAAATTCTATGAGGTAACTTAAAAACTTAGAAGTTATAAGGTAAGTCAAAGATAGAATGCACTTTCCCAATTGTGAACAATTTCACCTAAAGTTTCCAACTATGGATTACGACAATTCAGCGGACACCAACCAGGTTGTCTGTACTTACCTACATGGCTAAGCCTGACAATCAGACGGTGACGACTAATCTACCTAACGGGTTGTAGTGCTAGAAGTCACCAGGACAAGTTAACTTATCCCAGCTGTTTTTAAAGATGGTAACGTACATTTAGCCAAGAAACTGATGAGATCGTTTGGAAAAGTATGTCAGAGCAACTCTACACATAACGTACGTTAACAATTGCTGCTTCTTGAAATCAGGGTCATCCTTGGTTTATTGGGCAGGATTGTGCTTTGAAAGTGTCTGTTGAAATTTATAACTGGTAACTTTGTTAGTATATTAGGGGGGGGGGACAGACTGAGGGTATACAACTACCTCACTATTGTTTCCATCCAACAGTGTTTGTAAGTATAGCATGTATTTTGCATCTTCTAAATTAACAGTACTTCTGTGAGACTAGAAAGAGCTTGTTCCTAAAATAAATCCTAATAATCAACCGTCAGGAACATTCGCAAGGATCGTGTATCCGGGTAGTTGCATAGTGCTGGTAATGACATGATAAATGAAACTAACAGACATATATGTCCGTCTGACTATCAATGTAAAGTTAATCTGGCTGTGTAAAATCGAGTTTGAGATATCAAGAGGAGCACTTCAAAATAAAGATGTTCTAGCACTGTTAAATCATCGTTAGCTCCAATTTCTCACGTTAGTGGAGCTTTTTTTATCTAACAGCACGTAATCACCTGTTAATGGGGATCCAACTGACTAATGCATTCCCACATTTAGCGTTTAGCACGACACCGATATCGAAAAAACCAATGCAACAGGGTTCTCAGATAGACGCATGTAAAACAAGCTTTTCGAAGCGATATATGGAGGGCAAATGTAAATTGTCACTAGTCTTAAATACAGGTCGTTGATATACAACAGAAACTTAACGTGCACATGTTGTAATAGGTCGGTTTTAATGGCATAAGTGGTTTCGTAATAGGTGGTTTAGAACTAGTATTCGGTGGTACCATTCAATTTTAGACCATTCAGTGACTTGGTACCGTTTGGATAGGACCCAGTTTTCACCATAAGTGAGCTGCTGTATGCGTTGAAAAGTAAATTAATACACAAAATGGGAATAATAAACAAACGAGTAACACGATAAAGAATGAAAATTATTATTGTTAACAAGTAATTTTGAGTAAGATTTTTAGAAATGAGATTTAAAAGGGGATTAGTTTTTCTAGTTGTCGTCATCATTTACCTACTACTGGACTAAGAGATATATCGTCGAAGTAGGTGGTGACTGACTAAACGTAATACAATTGAAACTTAGTATGCATGAAAGATTGGTCGTAATTTGTGTAGAAGGAAATGAAGTTACGACCACGCTAATAGTTATTGACTACTGAATAAATAAAAAACGCTAGCTAATACATTTGCGCAATATATTTTAAACAATTTGGGAACACAACAATCAGTCAGCTACAACGTAGAACTCGGTACGTACGTACATCGGCTCAAGTTGCCATACCACACTAGCACAGAGAGATGAGATCGCCATTTTAAATCCTATAGTGGCTGAGGTTTTAGCAGTATTAGCTGTAATCGAAATGATTAGAGATAGATATGATTGGAGAAATATAACTCAGTGAAATAAATTTGAAAATAAGAATATAAAGGTCTGGTCTCAAGAATATTTAAGACTTTATGCTTAAGAAATATAAACGATCAACTAGAATAATTACAAGGTTAGGGAAACAAAGATAATGTGAAAACTATATTGGATAATGAATCGATATTGTCAAAGTAGGTTAGGGTAAGAACAAACTTTTTGAACATATAAACGGGGTTTTAGTTAACCACGAAAGGATTCTTTGCTAATCTACCAATTAGTGATGACTCAAGCAGTTTCATACTGGCATGGAAGACTTATATCCGTTATCAACAAAACATGCGACGCACTAATCATTTTCGAAAAGTCAAGGTCAAATTCCTCCAAAGAAGCCCAAACAGCATATCAATGAAAGTGTCATATTCCACTGCATCTACCAATTTACATGTATGTGCGGACACAGAGGGGAGCAGTCGTGATCTACAAGGACGGCTGAATACATGCCTAAATGGCTACAAAAACAAATGGGTTCCTGTGGTTAAATGACATCACATCATCAACATGTATTATTCTTCATCGCCAAATATTTGGTTGAGATCGATATCAAGTTAACCTTTGCAGCGTTACACAAAAGTATTCACGGGCGTATACCAAGGTTTAAGTGAGCCGTAGTTATGCGAAAATCAAAATCCTCTGTGTTCAGAGGGTCTGTTTTTACCTTAACATACCTTGGCAACATCATTTTAGTATCCAGCTTAGTTTTCAAATTGTGTACTTTATATCAGTTTCTTTGATTCCCTAACCTGTTTAATTTTCCAAGTTGACCTTTTATATTTTCTATATATTACATCTTAGCACTGAGTTCGAAAATGTTGTTCGAAGTTCACTGAGAAAGTTTAGTACATAACTCTAATAACTTTCGCCTTTTAAATGCATTACTATTACTATTACCATTATTATTATTATTATTATTATTATTACTATTTTGAAAGCAATATCATGATATCAATGATCAACTCCTAGCTTTAACATAATGAATAACTAAGTGAATAAATTTTATAGAGATTTTGACTCTCTTATTGTAATTTTGAGTGATATATGATTTTGGCAGATTTATGGAACTGTTGAGAATTATGTGGCACTAGTGATATTAAATAAATCATGTTGAACAGCCTAATAAGACTGAAAATGTTGAAATAAGACGAACTTTGCGAAGATACAAGCGGCACTGACTAAGGAAGTTTGGTATAGACTCAGGTGACATTGAATTATAATGTCGCCCTTTTCACTTAGGCCGGGGAAATAATGTGATAATTTCACTCAAAATAATCTTCTGCACACCTTAAAGATGCCAAAATGGTTAGTAATTACGTTTAAAAATTGTATTTAACTAATATTTTCCAAAGATTAAATACAAGTAACATGATTTAATAGACATAACAAGAGGCTTACCTCAACTGTGAAACGTGTAACGATGTGTTGTGTTTAGCACCTAAAGTAGCGCCAGGAACGAAGATCCAATATCCAATATCATTTTTACCAGCTTTTATAAACCAATAGATTTCTTTGCGCTCGATTCCTGTTCGTTCAGTACGGCTCCAGGTGTTTGGTGGTTTATATGTCTTGTGATTTGAATGAAAACGTTTGTTTCAGGGTAGTAGGATTTCTGGATACCAGCAGCTATCACATTACCACAACGGAGATTAGTTAGTTGCAATGTGGAGAGTAACAAGTTACTAAGGATAAAATTCTAATGCTAATATGAATAAGACTTCAGAACTAATTATTATATAGACTTGGATGATTTAGTTTATTAATTGGTAGTGAAGATTTTGAGAGAGGATCGAACTGTAAGCAAGGGAGAGGAAACAGAGATAATAGGCGAGATGTATTAAGTTAGTGATCTGAGGAGATGGCTGTGATAACAACTTGCATGTCTCAAGATACGCATCATGAACAGACTGTCCATGAGGGGGATGACAATCTGTATGTGAGTACGAGATTATCAAGTCTCTTCTTAAAGCAGTCAACTGAGGGGCCTATGGCCACCTCGGCTGGGAGACCATTCCATGTTGCGACGACTCGCAATGAGAAAAAGTGTGCACTAATCTGAGTATTTGCTCTTTCATGTGCAATCTTTCGAGGATTGCCTCGAGAGGAGTGGTGGTGATGCATCGGTAAGATGCTGACGTTGGGATGGTTTGGTGTGCTGAATATGTTGTATGTCATCATCAGACCACCTCTGATCCTTCTGTAACTCAGAGAGAATAATCCCAAATGCTGGAGTCTATATTCGTAAGCTGTATTCTCCAACCCTATCACCCATTTCGTTGCTCGTCTCTGCACTTGATCCAGCAGATTTATGTCTCTTTCAAGCAGAGTGGGTGCATGACGTTGTGAACCTCCAGGTGTGGATGCGCATATGTCTTAAATAATGTTAGGAATAATTGTGGGGTGATAGCATCAATTTATCTTCACATAAAGTGAAGGGTCGCATTGGCCATGGCCTCGTCCCTTATGTAGTTCAGACTCGTGTGGAGACCTTCGGTGGTTATGAAACCAAGATCGCACTCTGAGGAGACATTAGGGAGCGGACTTTCATTGAGGGCGTAAATTGTTTGCATCATGTGGGGCAGAATATACATGACGTGGCACTTCGGTAGGAAGATAACCACTGAAAACCATAGATTGATCAAAAAAGTTACACATGATGTGTATTGATTTTAAGCCTGATGACATTGCTCGACCAGTGTCGACAGCTATCAGTTTGTCTAGTTATTAACCTAGGTATGAAACAAAGATAAATATACGGGGCATTACCAAATACCTGGGACCGTACCTAAACAAATACAGAGCACAAACAATAGTATTGGATATTGATTATGATGTCTTTCAGTCAGTGTATAACACTATCACGAGTAGACCTTCAATTGTAACTAGAGAAATGTTTGCTCCTTGATATTCGTATCTGTGGAGCTGGAATATATTCTTCCTCATAAAATACTTAAAAAAACCTTGATTTCAGTGTTTTTCCTGCCAGGTTTTTGTACACCTTCAAAACCATTTTAAATGCTGGTCCATTCAGGAAAAATTCGAACTTGGTGTATTGAAATATTTCCTCGGAAACTTAAGTTAATTCCAAACCATACTAAAAATAATAAAGTACATCAATATTGTGACTGCACAGCTGACAATATGACTAGCTGAAGCCCGTTTTTCACAACGGTTTCAAAGTGAGTTCAGAAAGAATACATGAATAATAAGTCAGTCAGTGCATGAAATGTAAAGTGACCCGATATTGAAAACGATGAGAATTTTGACGCATCAAAGGGTGACTTGATGTGGATGCTTGACTAAACACTATTAAGATGAATAAAGTCGAATACTTACGAAATCATTCACTTAATCAACCTGTTTGACCTTTAATAGCCATGTTTTATGTATCTAAACAGCGTAACTACAGTGCTTTTCAGAAAAGTCTCAAAATATTTCTAGCCCTGCTATTCCACTGAGTAAACCACTGACTAAAGACATCTCGTCAGTCGCTATCACATGATCACGTCTCAGCCTGCCATGTAATACATGTAAGACTAATTCCAATCAGCCTCAGAATTTTTTGCAGTTACCCAAGATTTGCACGACACTACTTGTCTTTCTGTGATGAAAGAAACAACACAGCGTCATCATACCACCATTTGTATCTCTGTTGATCACACTTTACTTCTTCGTCCACTCGAAGGCGCAGATGTAGTCAAACTCAAAGAAACGAAGGCGCTCAATCGTTAGAGTAAACTGAAAAGGAAACTCGAATGTGAGCAAGTATGATTAATTACACTGTCTCTTATTGATCGGTATGTAGGTTCCCTGATTTCGGGGAATGATCGTACAATGACTCCATAGGGTACCACATTTTTAATGAGTTTAGTTTGCTTTAACTATAAAGGGCACTTAAAGGGGTATCGTGAAATACTACTAACTACCCTCAATGCAGCATAGGCCACCAACCTGTATTCTCCAACCTTCTGTATCCTGGGCATCTTTTTCCAGTTCTGTCCGATTTTTAATCATTCTTCTAATGTCTATCTCCATTCTGAGACGTGATATATTTCTTGGCCTTCTTCTTTTCCTTTGACCTTTGGGGTTCCAAGTAAGAACTTGTCTATTGACGCATTTGAGTGCTTTCTAGAGTGTGCTTCCCATCCACATTCAGCTCTTCTTCCTGATTTTTCCCTCAACTGCAATCCGATTCGTCCTCTCCCTTAAAAGGTTATTACTGATTGTATCTAGCCAACGGATAGGGATTGTCTTTCGTAATCAACTGGATGATGGCTTTAGTAGTTCTCCGATTTCCGCCCGATGCAGTAGAACTGTCTTGACATTTGCTTTGAAAATTCTGATTTCGGTGTCGGTCGATTTTTTTGGTGTTCCAGATGTTTTTCAACTGTAACGGTGCTCTCCTTGTCTTCCCTATCCGCGCCTTCACATTTTCATCTATATATATCTACCTTGCTCGTCAATGATGTTGCCCGGATATGTAAAGGTTTTTACATCTTCCTAAGCTTCCCTGTCAAGAGTGATTTGGTTGGCGCACTTTGCGTTATTTCGTAGAATCTTGCTTTTCCCTTTATGTAGGTTGAGACCTACTGCTGCTGAGACTGCTGCTACACTGGTCTTCATCTCTTGCATTTGTTGTTGCATGTGCGATAGAAGAGCCAGATCATCTGCGAAGTCCGGATCGTCCAACTGCGTCCTAGCTGTCCACTGGACACCGCGATTCCCTCCAGATGTTGACGTCTTCATAATCCTGTCGATCATCAGGAGTAGGAGAAAGGGTGAGAGTAAGCAACCGTGCCTGACACAGGTATTCACCTGAAACAAGTTTGTCAGCCGTCCTTCTTGCACGATTTTGCAGTTTGATACATCGTGAGTATTCTGCATGATGTTTACCATCTTCTCAGGGACGTTGTAGTGTTAAAGAAGCCTCCATAGTGTTGCCTCTATCCACCCTATCAAATACTTTCCCGTAATCACTGAAGCTGATGTAGAGCGGTGAGTTTTATTCAAATGGTTGTTCCACAATGATCTGTAATGTTGAGATTTGGTCGATAAACGAATGATCCTCACGAAATTCAGCCTATTGATCTTGAAATTGTGCTTCTATGGAGTCCTTGATCCTGTTTAACAATACTCTTTTTAGAGAGAAGATGCTTCTTCACTTTAGGGTGGTCTCAGTGAGGCTGGTCGATTCAAGAGTTTCTTAAAGTGCTCTTCTCGCGTGTTTCTCAGTTCTTCCGTGATAGAGATGACTTAGTATCGTGGAATACCTGTCAAAAGTACTAAAGGACTTTTCTAATGAACCGAATCAAAGATCGGTAGGAGGGGGGAGTGACGGTACATTCGCGTAATTTGAGCAGTTGGTGAACTGTGAAATTGTGAATGAGCAGGTTTCTTAGCGATGTAATATTGAAGGTTGGTCGATCAAGATCACTGTCAGATAGTCGTATCACCAATATGCTTGGTAAGACTGAGGGTCGTCGTGGTAGAAATAATACTCTGAAAGTCTCTTCACAAAATTTTATTGAATAGTGTTGCGATTTCTTCGCTCCTTTACCATGTATCGCACCAAAATTTACAGTGGAATCCCGTGATCACTGTTATGCCTTAATTAGCCAATCAGATTGTGGTTTCAGCTCCCACCACGTGATCTGACCTGACGTGTCTGTAAACTTTCTTTGTTGTAAATGACCTAATAATAATCTTATAATATTGATGTGACTCATAACTGTACTCATTTCCATAAGACACGCTATATTGGTCAGTATGTTTGCTCGTCTTACTTGATAATTGTACTTTCCTTATTTATTGTACTACTGTAATTGTTTTTTATGTTTAGAAACAGACTGCCCGCAACAACGGTCTCCGGGATCATTTAAGGTAGATATTTTGTCTCATTTTGTTGAACATACATTCGTTATTTCCCATGTACCAACAACATATATATTAACCATTCCTTTTTGTGTTTAATTTTGTGATATCTAAACCTCTGACTGTAATTTCGATACAACTTGTTTTCTTCTTAAACTAGGATCATTTGAACTGAACGCAGAATTTGAATTTGATATAACTGGATACGAGTCATTCAAAATGCTCTGTTTGCTATATACATGCACGTAGTATGGCCCAACCGAATAAATCTTGGTTCGTTAGCTCTAAAATCAAACAAACACTGTTAATTAGGCTGTTAAAGTTGTAAGCTAAGGTTTTTCGCGTTTCAGATGTTACGAGCACTTAGATTTGGACAACTTTTTTCCGTCACACATATACGATTGTAGACACCCAGAGCTAAGTCAAACCGAAAGTCAGGGGTCAGGATTATTGGAGGTCTATTTGCATGACGGTTTGAATGTCGAGGGGTGAATGAACTAAGCCTGTTAGTTGATGCGAGAAGCTGCGGAGCATGACGCACACAATAGTGATCTGGTGCGGATGCGTGATGGAATGACTTCAATCTGAATGCGTCCACCTAAATTAATGAGGTCAGTGACAACGTAGAAGACTTACAGGACGGTCTACCTCTGCAACGTATTCTCCTTTAGTGGGTTAGTGATGACCCTAGGACGTGATCGGCGAGCAGTTTAGACCCGATATATGTGACATTGTCAAACACTTTTGGTAGATTTCTGTTCAGACGCACCCGGTCATCTTTTCCTACCCTAACCACGTGGCACAACCAAAATCCATTGGCTTGCCGATTGCTATCTTGAGGTCAAAAACAGAACTATCTTATGTGATCTCTGGAAAGACACTAGCTTCTACATCCGAGTCGACGAGGTAGCATGCCTTATTCATCATGTTAAGCACGAATAAGAGACGACTGTGTCCATCGGCTAGGGTTGCATTAGGGTATACAGGCTGGATAGTTTCCCAGAATGTTTGAGCAAGAATATTTTAGGATAATGGAGCTGTAGGATTCCCTATATTTTTTGAAAGATTTGCATTGATGGTTCTGTTACCAACACTGATTAAAATTATCTGTTTCCGGCAGTTTGAAAAAAGATCATTTTAGAAACAGTATTCTTCGGGGAGTCGTTGTTAACTTACTCTCCTGTTGAAGATTTAGGAACCACGCGCTCGTGTTACAGAGGTCTGTAATTTCGTTTCAGTTTGACAGAAGTGTTTTTTCATGAGAAAAAATATTCGAGCTGTACACACTGTTGATCCGATACTCAGACGTAGCCAGGCTTTCGGTGACGACAATTTATAATCAGACAAAGACGGCTTTCATCTACTCGGAAAGTTTGAATACAAGGAGTTGCCGAAGAAGGTTTTAGATGAAAATTCGTAGGCCAATAGCTTTTATCATATATATTAACGTTTCTGTTGCCGAGTAATTTTGCGATTCATTGTTGTAGGGAAGTTGGTCTAACATTAGCCAATTGGCTAGATCACCATTACTTTTTGAAGGTGTCTTATGGTTTCGAAACATCACTAGTCAACATACTAAGCGTAACGTAATTGTTCAACTCGCGCGGAAAGTGACTTTGACCCAGAAAAGAATTATGCGAGTGGGTTTGTCCCACGGTGCTCGTGACAGTCAACCTCTGCATCACAGAACTTGGCCTCGATGCCCTAAGGCAACAATATCATGGGTTTAAATGTCAGTTTCGGCAGAGTTTTAACCTTAAGCATCTCAGGGGGATATTCTACGAGTTAAAATGGAAAATGTATTTGCGAGTCAAAAGATATATAAATATATATAACTTTATTACGAGTGACAGATAGAATTTGATTGAATTTACCAGGCCACATCGTGCTTACCGATGAGGATGTTACAAACATTAAGAGTATAAAACGCTTTAGTCCTTAAAGCCTTTGGAATCAAGAGTTTTCAAACCCATTTCAAATTAGAATTCAGGAATGAGGAGGATAGAGGGTGTAATAGCGCCTATTAAGCATTCCACTTCGCAGGATAACAAATGTTATTCCCGTTACCCTAGTAATCAGATAAAAGACGATTCTAGAGGAAGAAGTATATTTAATGCTAGCCTCGTGATATCGAAATAATCACGAGACTAGTGTACACGAGAGGCTAACAACGAGCGAGGAGAGAAGGCCGAAAAGCAAAGATATGCTTGGAGCGCAAGAGCTAAGGTGTACAATGTAACGATTATTGTCAGAATTAAGTACAATTATTAATGTTTATATTTCAGCAATTGTGTTCTCTTCATAAAAGTATATGTTTAAGGAATGGTTCGGATGTCAAGGATAGAGTCAAATAAGCTTGTTACTTAATGTTTTTCTTTCAGCATCTTGAAAGACTAGCAAAAATATGGTAAACTCTCTTTATTATCAACTTTGATTCAAAGCCCTGGATTACCAATCACTCTGTTGTAACACGTGCCGGTATCTGCTATTGATATCTATAAGGTAAGACTAACTTACATAATGGATTTTGAAAATTAAGAAACAACACCTGCATTTGTTTCTCACCTTCAACCAATAGTAGACGGGACTTTGGCTGGCGCGACTTTTGAAAGTTTTCACGTTATGGATCGCAAAGCCGCCATCAAAAGCAAGCTTCAAGGAATAGAGAGGTATTAATATGTATGTATTTTGAAAGACACTAGCTATAATCCCGAACACATAGCAGTACTTGAAGAGCACCTTACATGGCAAATCACGAATAATGATTATGATTTCGAAGCTAATTTAGCTTTACTTCGACTGTATTTAATAAGATTTTGTGATTAGTTCTTCTTACATAGATATCAGTTTTATCCGGAACGTTTTAATGCTGAATGTGCAAGGTTAGTGCTGCTAAAAGCAATTATAAGTATGAATCAATCAGATTTTACCTTGTGCAAGTACTTGGTTAATCTAGAACATGTAAGTTGTTAATGTAAATTATTAAAGTTAGCTTAGTAAAGAGCCATTGTCATTGATTGTGCAACTTGGGCATTTTTTGGAAACTTGTCGGTTTTCTGAGTTTTGGGTTTGTTTAGTTACATAATTTTGCATAATGTGTAGATGGAAGTTAAAGATAATCCCAAGATTTTCTCTTCTATCCCTGGATTCCGTGAATCTGTACGAAAATGTAAGTATGCATCTGATTGTTTTTATATTCAACGGAGTTTTTTTTATAGAAACAAGGTTCTTTTTGCATTTCTTTTCCCCTTTTTACCGTGTCTGTTATTTCTTGCTTGGAAGTTATTGTTCAAAGACAGTTTTTGCTAAGAAAGCTTGTCTGATGTTAATCAGTATCTGATGATATGAAGATATCGCTTCCCAAAGTATTGTACTTCATCCCTAAGTAAACTACTGTGGCTATTTTCCAAGAGAACGAGGTATCGAAATTTAGTTTATTGTAACATCAGCCAAGTTTCGGTGAAGTTAATGCTCAGGGCAATCTCTTTATGATCCGATTTTGATCGTAGACAAGTTGATCAGTCAGTCATGAGTGACAAACAAGTAAATATATTCATCGGTCTAAGTCAACACATGACGTCATCATGAGGTGATATTATCAGAATAAATCTTGTATTCTAGTTTCAAAGAGGTGCTATTTGTCACTGGCATTAGTTAATGTTAAGTGTGAGCTCATGTACTATGTTGCCCGATTTGATATGGAATTCATTGATAAGTGTACCATGAATGACATGGCTCAAAACCGTTTGCAATGGCGCCGGTGCATTTATTATTTGTGTTCTCTCAAATCCTAATCTTCTGGACTCTTCAACACCTCTAGTTTTGTCTTTCTAAGCTTATCTCACTAAATCATACTTCTTGAATAATATTTTATAATCCTAACCTCTCTGATTACTTCTAATACCTTCACCTCTACTATCATTGGATTTGAATTTACAATTACATCTCTGTGCTAATATGGTATGGCAACATGAACTGATGTACTTACGTACGAAGTTCCGCGTTTTATCTGACTGACTGACTAACATGACAGTCTTAAATACAGTTTCCGGAGACCAAATATCACGCTTCGTGAGCTTTAGTCGTCAGGTTTAGTGGTTGTGGGGGATAAAGATAAAACCATCTAAGAGTCAACAATTTATAGGAAATATTTGGAAGTAGTATGATTTGGTTTTGAACAAGGTTGTCACATATCACAGTAAACGTTTGTTAGTGGTTGTCGCTTCTCGATTTCTCGCACCATAGAGTGACACTTCGTGAAGTAGTTACATGTAAAAGAAACTGTTTTATTAGTTATATAATCGACTTAAGAGCGTAACTGCATAGTCCATAGAATACCTATTTGACATCATTCATAAACTAGTTTTTTTCGCCGGTTATTTTTAATTTCTTGCCTTTATACTTTAGTGGCTGTACCACATGTTCGTCAATACTGTTTATTGATAGGAAACACTTTTCTGCTTTTGATTCTACCACTCTCCAGATAACCTACCCGGCATAGTATACCTTACAAATATAAGTTTCCGTTGCACTCAATTAACCAGTACATACACTTCGTATTGGTTAACGTATTTAAACGTAAGATAGATTAGATAAATTGAACAGTACCAGAAACCTCGGAAATCTTTAACACAACCTAAATCATGATTATTTCTTGAAACAAGGTATTCTGGATATCTGAATCTATTCAGATTTATCATTAATCTGTATGCTTGCTAAATGTGTTGGGTCACACAAGTTGTATACACTTGTCGATGTCAGTCGGTCAGATGCAACGTAGAACGTCGTACGTAAGTACATCAGTTCATGTTGCCATACCACATTAGCACAAAGATGTAATTGTATTAGGTATTAGAATTAATCGGAGAGATTAGGATTAGAAGATATTATTCAAGAAGTATGATTCAGTGAGATAAGTTTAGAAAGACAAAACTAGAGGTGTTGAAGAATCCAGAAGATTAGGATTTGAGAGAACACAATGAATAAATGCACCAGCGCCATTGCAAACGGTTTTGAGCCATATCACTTGTAGATGTACTTTGAACAAGACGACAAAATGCTCAGCGGTCCAGAGGTTGGGCGTTGGCGCACAAGACCAAGGCTCCTGGGTTCCAGTCTTGCGGGCAGCAGGAGTTGTGGATGCGCACTGCTGATGATGAGGTTTCTTGAGCGATAATGTAGTATTTTTAGTGTAAATTAAATATTCACTTATTACTATACATTCAGTTTAACTGTAGGATAATCTTTATTTGGCACACAATATTAGTTAGCTATCAAATAACTATAGTCACTTATCGGTACCAAATTATCTAATAAAATTTGAATTGTGATAGTTTTAAAATTTATTTTATTCCTAAACAACGAAATCTCAGCTCGGATACAGAAGGCTCGATTGGCTTTTGCCAACCTGCGTCACTTATGGCGAAGGCGAGATATCCGTTTGCTGACTAAAGGACGAGTGTACTGTGCAGTGGTTCGCTCCGTGTTACTTTATGGCTGTGAAACATGGCCAGTGAAAGTAGAAGATCTTCTTAGGTTACTGGTTTTCGATCATAGGTGTCTTCGAAGCATTGCTCGTATATCCTGGGACACCCGAATGACCAACGCTGTTATTAGGAAACGGGTGCTAGGTAAGAATGTCAGATCAATAGACGCAGTAGTGACATATCATCAGTTGAGGTGGTTGGGACATGTGTTGCGTATGCCCAACCACCGACTACCTCGACGAGCTTTGTTTTGTAGTGTAGGAATAGGTTGGAAGAAAGTTAGGGGCGGCCAAACCAAAACATGGCAGAAATCCATGAAGTCATTGACGAGTGGACTTAGCCATGTCGGTAATTGTCGACTACCTGGTTGGGATCCGCGAGATGATAATAATCGATGGTTAGAGACCTTGAATGACATGGCTCAAAATCGTTCGCAATGGCGCTGGTGCATTTATTCTTTGTGTTCTCTCAAATCCTAATCTTCTGGATTCTTCAACCCCTCTAGTTTTGACTTCCTAAACTTTTCTCACTGAATCATACTTCTTGAATAATATCGTCTAATCGTAACCTCTGAGATTACTTCTAATACCTTGACTTACCTCTACTATCATTGGATTTGAATTGATCGTTACATCTCTATGCTGATGTGGTATGGTGACATGAACTGATGTACTTACGTACGAAGTTCTGCGTTGCATCTGACTGACTTACTCCTAAACAATAGTTGAGTCTGGAGAAAGTGGTAGTTAGATTTGGTCGACTTTTAATTGAATCAGTAATTCCATGTTTCACAAAAGATGTACGGTATTTTTCAGGCATATATTCTTCATGTACTGTATATTAGCCAAAGTAAACGAAGATCAGTATCTATTATTTATACCTGGTGAACAATTATCCTTCAGTGGACTATAAAGTTCCATCTGGAACACGTCTGCCATCTTTTAAACAAACTGACATCAAGCACAGATGTCCCTGAATGCCATGGTACGACCGAGAGTGGGGATAGTCCACTTACGAGATGTTCTTACATGATTGTGAGTATATAGACACTGCTAGGGGAATCGTAACGGAGTGCTATTTGAAGAATTTTCAGAATATAAAGCGCCTTAAACGGGTTGGTGGATACGGAAGATCCACTGGGGAAAAACCTTGATTTTAGCCCAATAGTGAAAATGTGTTTACGGGTCCCTGAGGGGAAAATAGTGTATAAACATATTGTTGGTCATTGGCTACTAGGTGAATGCATCTCCTGACGTTGTTGCACTGCCCTATGAATTAGACTCCCAAGTCTTCGGTAGTGGCCTCCAGAGAAACAAATAGCTGTTTCGCTTTAGACTCTTCGGTAGTATCCTAGGACATACATGTCTGACGATACATATTTTAGTGTGCTCTTTGTACCAATGTTTGTGTCGAAGTAAGAAATAACCAAGCACAGATCCATGTGTACTCATCACCAAGTCACATGTTATACTCGAAGACTAGCGATGTCATCCAAATCAAAGTAGATGAAGTACAAACCGGATTCTGCAACTGACTGGCATTATCAACTTTCACAAATCAATTATACATTTTCGAAGCCATGAATCGATTAATGTTAGACCATCATTAGAAACTTGGAAGCACTGGACAGCCGATTCGTCCTTGTAAGAGTCTCATCAGAAGTGGGCATCCACAACTCCTGCACCCCGCCAGATTCGAATCCAGGACCTCCAGTATTGTGCGCGAACGCCTAACCAATGGACCACTGGGCTGGTATCTAACGGTGTTAATGCCTAACTTGATCAATTCACTGAGTTGCGCAACCGCTTACACAGTCTTCGGTAGTTACTGTCTACACCCGAACAGGTTGAACTTCACTGGTCACGTCTTCACACTAGAACTCGGAGAAGATTCCTCACGAAGCTAGTCACTAGTGAGCACAGGTAATTTGCATTACGGGGTTGTGAAGAATGTTAAGTTATCAGGACGAAATGGCCGTCTTTCAGTGCTTCCAGGTTTCTTCTAATGGTGGTCTACTAACATTGATCGATTCATGGTTTCAAACAATGTGTAAATTAACAATCTTCACAACCCCGTAATGCAAATCAATTATAGTTAGGAAACAATTTTTCATGCCCAAAACTATACCTGATATCATATGTTATTCACTAGTCTAGCTAACTTCTTACATATGACTCTTATAAGCTAATTAAAAGTTTAAAATGTATGTATACGTCTCTTTTCGTTTGACTAATTTTCAGTTATTGTACAAATTATTTCACAAACATATCAACGTATTCCGAAAACTTTATTAATGAGTTTTTTGGATATATCAGAAAGTGACAATGATCAATTGAAACAATTCATTAAACAATATGATTGGTCTGAAACCATAGATGACCAAAATAATCATCAACTTATTTTAGTGAATAATCATGAAGAAAACATCAAGTCGGTGAAAATCAGGGAACGAGTAAATTTCGATTCAATCACATCCATGTCTGGGGCATTTCGACCATCAAAAAGTGATTTTTTCATTAAAACAACATACAATAATCATGATAATCATAATCATAGTAATCATGTTAAATAAATAAAATTTTTGTTATTTATTTCTCAACGGAATACATTTTTATTCTCAAGTACTTCTTTTTTTGTCAATTATATATACATTTAACCTTTTAACTCACCCGTACCAGCACACGAGACCAAATTGGTCGAAATCCGTCTTATACATTTAACCAATAACCAACAATTTTGAACAATTTAACTAATTGGCGCCACCGCTCTTTTTAAAAATATAGATACAATATTATGGATATAATAAAATGAAAGAAATTAGGTAATATTGTAGAAGGCAAAATCATTCAAAGAAACTGTACAAAGGTAGTAACTACTACAACAACTGCCGGCACTGTCCAGACTGTCGTATACCGCCCTTGCCTCACCTCCCCGCAGCGTCCCCAGCACCGCCAACTCCGCCCCAGGCCCCTTCACACCCACCAGCTCCACCGCGGCCTCAAACTCCTCCAGGAAGCCCCGCAAATCTCAGTCCTCCAACTCCTTCGGCCACGGGAGCTCCTTCCTTCGGGCAGGCAGCGACACCAAATGTAGTGAAGGATAACACAGGTGGAGCAACCAGATTGTATTTAACGAAAATCACAGAGTTACTCAGTAAAATAGGAAAACCATATCGTAAATCGTTCATTTGCAAAATATCAGTCCATCATATCGAACTGGACTGTTCCTGTTGCAAAACATCAATCCATTGTCAGTATTCATGCGTTTCATACAAATTCCATTGTTTTCTAACTCTTCCTTTCTTGATCTTCCCTCATCTTCTGCTGCAAGACATGACGTTGACACTCACGTCACATACTACTTATAAGTAGCTCACACCACACTACTACTACTACTACTACCAGACCGCTTAAATATGTATGCATGTGTGTGTATGTTGGGGATGTTAGTAGATCCCCAGGACTCGCTTGATAAATGCCTTATTTTGGATTTCACGTTTGCAAGCATAGGCTTACCAGTTGACCTTAATATTTCATTTCCCACCAGGGAAAATCCATGGCTGCTGTGTATTTTAATGTGCTATTTTCGTAACTGTCTCAAGGATGTTTTTATGATGTATAAATAATAAAACGAGAATTGTATGCTTGATTATATTGTGATTGTTGGGTGTTTGTAGAATATACTTTCTACGCTTATCAAGTCTTCTGTTTTACAGTTTGGGATTCAAGGTAGCCCATCTGGACGCTGGTAATTGTCTCGTTCGCGTTCTCCTAGTGACGAACATAACAGTGTACAAGTAAAATAACTGATCATGGTGATATTGTCATCTGTTTTGTACAAGCGAGAGAGTAAGAGAGAATAAGAAGGCAAAGATAAGTTTGAAACAAAAAAAAACATAAACCGAGATTAGTGAACTGAAAAGGAAAAGAGGTGTTTTTTTTATTTCTAAAGCAAATGTTGACTTTGTGACAGATGAAAAAATGTCATTGGAATTGTGTATTTTGAATAAATCATCATCATCAGTAGGTTACTAATAGTATTAGTAGTCTTGTTAGGAGATTCATCAAATATCCTGAAGGAGAATTATCTTTGTAAATCTAATTCTATTGGTCAATTCTTACTGGTCAATATTATGATCGTCCTAGCTATCAATGTCACGTACTTCAATGTTGTTTCCCATCGGTTGTCCTAACTGTATAAATACTCATTATCTGTAACGTTTTATGACCCGGATCTTTAGTCCGGGATCCTTATCCTCTTCTGGACTCGGAACTCGCACTTTCTGGATGTTTGTAGAATACAGGTTCTACCTCATATCTATTCTTCTTCTTTTACTCAAGGGGTGTTGGGACAATTAGGTTAGAGTAGCCTGTCGTGTCACCGGATCATCGATCCTTGCTCTCGTTTTCCGACTAGGTAAACTCGTAATAGTTCAAGCATATCAATTCGAAATGTTAACGTGCATGCGTAACAGTTGTTATGTTTGAGTTTGTTTGCGACTCAATGCCAAGTTTCTGGTGAATTATATGTTGTAACCTAATAAAATAGTAGAGAGAGAGAATACACGATATATATGTATATATATATATATATATGCATTACGGGCTTGTGCAGATTGTTAAGTTACACATTTTTGAAACCATGAATCGATCAATGTTAGACCACCATTAGAAACCTGGAAGCACTGCACGGCCGTTTCGTCCTGGTATGGGACTCATCAGCTGCGCGCATCCACGACTCCTTCACCCCTTAGGATTCGAACCCAGGACCTTCGGTATTGTGCGCGAACGCCTTAACCGTTAGACCACTGAGCCGGTATCTAACGGTGTTAATGTCTAACTTCATCAAATTCACGGAGTTGCACAACCTCATGCACAGTCTTCGGTAGTTACTGTCTACACCCGAACAGGTCGTGGATGCGCACTGCTGAGGAGTCCTATACCAGGACGAAGTGGCCGTCCAGTGCTTCCTGGTTTCTAATGGTGGTCTAACAATATATATATAAATTATTCAAACTCATGACTAGCCGGATTCTAGTACCATGGATAATCAATGCGATTCGTTGATTGATTGTAAATGTCTGTTTTATTTTTTATTCTTTTTTTACAAAAAATTATGCTTTACAATATAAAAGAGACAAAGGGAGTTTTCGTTAGATTCTACTTCTTGAATAATATCATCGAACCGTAATCTCTCTGATTACTGCTAATAGTTTTACTACATCTACTATTATGGGATGCGAATTGAAAATTGCACCTCTGTGTGTGCTAATGTGGTATGGCAACTTGAACTGATGTACGTACACGTACGAAGTTCTACGTTTTAACTAACTTACTGACTAAAGGTTGGACATAGCTAGTTCTGAACTGTTTATTCAAATTAGCATGGAAGTGTAGTCTTTGACTATTGTTGTTATTGATTTCTTAAAATGACCGAACGTTGCCAATAAAAATAGAAGAATAATAACAATCATAATAAGTAATGGGGTGATTGATTTTATATAAAATATTCAATTTGTAATCCATTTTTATTGGGCACATTTAATTTACAGTATAGATAGTTTAGCGTAGAAGAATGTTATTTTCTATGTAGCTCAAGAAAGCTAGGGGCGGCCAAACCAAAACATGGCACAAATCCATGAAGTCACTGACAAGTGGACTTAGTCATGTTGGTAGATGTAGACTACGTGGTTGGGTCCGCGAGACGATAGTCACCTTGAACGACATGGCTCAGAATGGCGCAGGTGCATCCACTCTTTGAGCTCTCTCAAATCTTAATCTTCTGAATTCGTCAGCACATCTACTTTTGTCTTTCTAACCTTATCTCACTGAATTATACTTCTTGAATAATATCTTCAAAACCTAGTCTTCTTCATTATCATTAAAACCTCTACTATCTTTATCACTGGAATTTGATTTGAGATTTACGTCTCTGTGCTAATGTGGTATGGCGACATGAACTTATGTACATATGTACGAAGTTCTACGTTGCAACTGACGGTGTAGCTCCAGTATATAATGTATCCTTGGATCATCGAGGAAACAGTGTTGGGTTTAGCAAAAGTGAATTAGGTAAGGCTTGAAAATCAGTTGATGAAGTTGTGAATCTTCATCAGTTGAGGTGGTTGGCACATGTGCTACGTATACCCAACCATCAACTGTCTCGACGAGCTATGTTTCGTGATGTAGGAATAGGTTGGAAGAAAGCTACGAACGGCCAAACCAAAACATGGCATAAGTCTAGGAAGTTAATGACAAGTGGACTGAGTCATGTTGCTAGGCATCGACTAGCTGGTTAGCGTCAGCGAGCTGATAATAACCGATGCTTAGAGACTTCAAATGACATGTCTCAAAATCGTTCACAATCGCGTAGGTGCATCCATTGTTTGTGTTCTCTCAAACTCTAATCTTCTGAATTCCTCTTGTTTTTACTTTTAAATTGATTTCTCTGTGATATACTTCTCAAATGATCGATTACTAATCTCACCGATAATTGCTCATATTTGTACTTCTTCTACCACTATTTAATTTGAATTAACAATTGCATCTCTTTGTACTAATGGGGTATGGCAACTTGAACTGATATATGTACGTACTTACGAAGTTCTACATTGTAGGCGACTGATTGACTGAACACCAGTATAATTTAACAATTAAATATATATGTTGTTAAGTATTTTGTCGTAGAGTTTTCTCAACATGTTGCCTAATTTTGTTTGTGTTATAAATGTATATTGTATAGTACAAAGATTGTCTTCATCAGGAATTATAACCTACAAGATGAGAACACAACTAAGAACCAGGAAACAATAAATATTCGTCTCATTCCGAATTTCTTCTTAAAACTATCATCTTAAGAATGATTGAGACAAGAACCTTTAAATCTCTTGACAAGTGCTATATATTTTTTTGGAGAAACTAAGTTGAAAATCCCATGTTACACATTTTTGACTTTAGCTAACTCTCAAAATACCATGGTCATCATACGATAAATACCGCGACATCCAACTGGACCTCCAAGGTAGTCTATAACTAGTTTAAATATCACTTACATTATGTAAATCCTGAAATGGATTGATTTCACACCGGTATTCATGAATAGTGAGTGACATGTGCGTTATTTGCTTATACTACGTCTAAGTAGTATATTTAGCTCTGCATAAATCTTTCCCTCCGATTGTTTCAAATGCTTATGCATTGGCAACTTTAAGAGATCATCTGATCGGATATATGTTGAATTCTGTTCAAAGTTAAATGTCTTCTCCTATGCTAATATTACCGAAGACTGCATGAGGTTGCGCAACTCCGTTAATTGATCAAGTTAGACATTAACACCGTTAGATACCGGCTCAGTGGTCCGTTGGTTAGGCGTTCGCGCACAATACCGAAGGTCCTGAGTTCGAATCCTGCGAGGTGCAGGAGTCGTGGATGCGCAATTCTGAAGAGTCCCATATCAGGACGAAACGGCCGTGTTTCAATGCTTCCAGGTTTCCAATGGTGGTCTAACATTGATCGATTCATGGTTTCAAAAATGTGTAATATGTATAAGTTTAACAAGAAGATTGGAACACTACTCTAACTGAAAATAATCAATGTCCGGTGATTGTTGATGTATTCAGTCGCCA